GGTGGAAAGACACAAGTCAAGGCTGGTTGCAAGAGGCTTCACTCAGACTTACGGGGAGGATTATGTGGACACCTTTGCACCAGTAGCCAAGCTCCATACCATAAGGATTGTCCTCTCACTTGCAACCAACCTGGAGTGGGAGTTATGGCAGATGGATGTGAAGAATGCGTTTCTTCAAGGAGAGCTAGAAGATGAGGTTTACATGCATCCTCCCCCTGGTCTGGAACATCTAGTCAAACCAGGAAATGTGTTGAGGTTAAAGAAGGCTATCTATGGGCTGAAGCAATCACCAAGGGCTTGGTATCACAAACTGAGCACCACTCTGAATGGTAGAGGCTTTAGACGATCTGAGGCTGATCACACCCTCTTCACTCTCTCCAGTCCTCAAGGTATTGTTGTCATCCTTGTATATGTTGATGATATCATCATCACAGGGAGTGACAAGGAAGGTATACAATCCACTAAATCCGTTCTCAAGTCTGTATTTGATATTAAAGATTTAGGTGAATTAAAGTACTTCCTAGGAATTGAAGTATGCCGCTCTAAAGAGGGGCTCTTCTTATCCCAAAGGAAGTACACTCTTGATTTGTTGAGTGAGGCAGGAAACCTTGGAGGAAGATCAGCGAAAACTCCACTTGAGGAAGGATACAAAGTCTTGAGAGAGGGGGAGTTTGAGGACAAACCATTTGAAGATGTCAAACAATATAGAAGGATGGTTGGTAAGTTAATCTACTTAACCATTACACGACCTGACATTTGTTTTGCTGTGAACCAGGTGAGTCAACATATGCAGGCTCCCAAGGTTCACCATTGGAACATGGTTGAAAGGATCATGAGATACTTGAAAGAGGCTCCTGGTCAAGGAGTATGGATGAGTTGTAACAGAAGCACAGAAATTGTGGGATATTGTGATGCTGATTGGGCAGGTGATAGAGTTGATAGGAGATCAACCACTGGTTACTGCACATTCATTGGAGGCAACTTGGTTACTTGGAAGAGTAAGAAACAAAAGGTTGTGTCATGTTCAAGTGCAGAGGCAGAGTATAGGGCAATGAGGAAGCTCACAAATGAACTTGTGTGGATTAAGGGGCTGCTTAAAGATTTGGGCATAGAGACAACATCTCCGATCACTATGCATTGTGATAATCAGGCTGCCATTCACATAGCCAGCAACTCGGTGTTCCATGAAAGGACAAAACACATTGAAGTAGACTGCCACAAAGTGAGACAAGCTGTGCAGCAACAAATCATCCTACCTTGCTACACTAGAAGTGAAGACCAACTAGCCGACATCTTCACCAAGGCAGCAAGCACCAAAGTCTGTGAGTTCATCCATTCAAAACTGGGACTCATAGACCTCACAGCTGACTGATCCTCTTGCCGTGAAGACTTCACTCTTTGTTTTTCCTTTCTAAGTTTTTTTTCTCTCTTTTTAATAAAGAGGTTCTTCATGGTTCCAAGCTTGACCAGTCCCTATGCTCAAGCTTGAGGGGGAGTGTTGACATGAAGAAGAAAAAAGGGTCAACTATACTTGTGTGACCAGAAACTATGAGCTAGTGATTGTGGCAGTTGGCAGATTCAAAATTTTAAAATATAGCTGTTGGAGAGATGAGACAATCTGTCTTGTCTTTATCATTATTCTTGTAAGCTTAAATAGACAACTCTTGTAATAGATTTAAAATAGGGAGAAATAAACTCCTCTATACTATTCTCTTCTCTCTCAAAACTCTCTTTCTCTCATCCCAGATTTCACAATCTATCTAAACTAGTTACTCTTTCTACATTCTAAACTCCTAACACTCAAATTCTCACAGATCAGTGTGTTGAATTGGCTGATTCTTGGGGCATTTACCAATGGAGTGTCCCAAATGCAAGCATGCAGTACAATACTCCTGCCTATTCTTATATATTATGGACTGTGAGAATCCAATCTTTCCACAGTTGATCCAAATTTTAGTAGTCATTTCCTTAGTAAGATCTAGTTCCACACATATTCTAGCTACTGTAGGCCTAGACTAGCTATAGCCGAATCAATTTTAAGAGGCTTTCCAATCAGATTCGCAATTTCAAATAAAGTTGTTTTGTCTTGCAAATGGATAGGAAGCTCTTCCATTGCAAGCCACATTGGGACCACCGGAGATTCAACATTAGGTCTAAATTCTGGTGTCCACTTTGTAACCCTCGTCATATAACCCTGGATTACCCATGTTTGTCTATTCCAACATCTAAGGAAATCCTCTTCCAAATAAAATCTAATTAATATATGCTTCGGGTCCAACGTTCCCAACTGGAATTTTCCTTTGAATCCAATGAATTCAAAGGATTTTCGAATTATAGTGAGACTAGGCTTACCTTTGAAAAAGTAACCCACCAAAGCCCTGGTATGCTTATCCTCCAATTTGAGAGCATCCACATCATTAAAACTGATCGAAGGCATTCCTTTAAATCTAGATTTCTCTGGTTTCATTGTTGCACGATCCACCACAACATCCACAAATGATTTTTGTCCCCAAACTCCCCCTCCGCCGTCAAGCGGCTTCACCACCGCCGAAGAAGCCATCTCTCGCCCCCCTACTTTTTCATTTCAACATTATCTAGATAAACTATTTTTTAATAGCTGCACATGTCTCGATCTTAATGGAGTAAGTGTGTTATTACTTAATTTACTAATTGACAAGGTCTACCAAATCAATATCTAAAGGTAGATTAACTTTTTTTTGTCTCATATTTATTTATACTTCATTCACAATTTATGTTTCACGTTGTTAAATGGGTTAGCACTCCCCAATCTTACCCAATCCGTGGTAGATTATGATTTTCATAGCTTGGATCGTCTAACTGTCTAATGGTCTCAAATGATGAGAATGATCTCAAACGATGCACATTATTTTTAATGGAGGTGCATATTACATTTAGAGTTAAAAAATAATTTAAACTTTAAATGGTCAAGAAAGGTTTAATTTATTAACAAAAATGTCACTACATTTTATTATTTATGATAGCGCATATTTCTACACAATGCACAATTTTCAAATCTAACATTCCGGTTTATTCTAATTCTCTTTTTACACATTAAAATGTCTTCTCATTCGAACTCAACCTTATATATAATGTACAATTTTCAAATCTAACGTTCCGGTTCATATATAGAAATAATGCCAGAGTAATTTTTTTGGATAATTATTATATGGAGTATATAGAAACAATAGTTTAATAAGGGTTGTAAGATAATAAGTATATTTGAAACATATTTTGGTAGTAAGGCATCAATATATATTGAAGACAATGAAAGTAAAAATAGTTGTTTATATTTTGGTTTACTCGTGAGCTATTGTTGTCTTGGCCACACCCGTGAGTGTCCTGTTGTTATGCCCGTGACTTCTCAATAGTCTGCATGAGTCAACCTACTGTACCTGCAACCCTTCCAAGTTAACCCACGGAACCGGTGAGATCATCGAATTAAAGAGTGACAACTCTAACCCACCATGAAATAGGATGAAATGGGCTAGCCCTATGGATTGAATTTGTTTTAAACTCTAATTGACGTAGTCACATACTCCGTACAATTCATTTCCTCTATAACTAAAAGAAAAAAATAAACACATGTTTTACCGTGCAAAACACATGTACACATACTAGTTAGTTATATTTGTATGAGTAAGTTTTATAAAAGAAGTATAACTTCACATACTTCATATATAATTACAATTATATTTATGTGGTGTCACTTGACATCACGTGGCGCAATCTCTGATCCCTCGGCTCCCTATTTAAGGATTGTTTGGATCTACTTTTTAAAATTGTTTTTGCTCCTCTGAAGAGTAGAAACAGATATTGAAATGTTTGGTGAAAGTGCATAAGTAGTTTTGGGTGCTCCAAATTGCTCTTAGAAATAGTTTTTTAGAAGTTAGAGAGATCAACTTCAGAAAAACTGATTCAACTTCTACTTTTAAAAGAGAAGTAGAAGCAAAATCAATTCTAAACACCCGCTTACTTATTTATATGTCATGTTTCTACATTGTGAATAATTCCATTTTAATTAAATACTTTTGTTTTGGTTTTAGTAATATTTTGTTTTGTTTTCAATGAACAGTTTAGAAAATTTTTAAACCTGAGGGCCAAAATTTCCTTTTATTATTCTTATATACTACATACTCCTTCCGTTCCACTAAAATTGTCTTATTTTATCTTTTCGGTTCGTCTTACTAAGATTGTCCCACATCAAATTTGATCAAGTTTGTGTGGCTCTAAATCATTATTATTTTATTCTTAGTTTTTTTTAATTCAATATCAACCACATAAATCACTTTTTTATTGGTTTGTGTGCTACTCCCTCTTGTCCCATTGTTAGGATATTTTTATTTGGACTGTAATTTGCTGGTCTGATCTGGTATAATCTGATAATTTCTGGTCTCTTTGTATTTTTATAACAATCCAAGTATGGTTTGGTTTGGTCTGATTTGTTCTGGTATGGTCTGGTTTGGAACAACTTACAGTCCAAGTAAAAACATCCTTAGTAGGACGGAGAAGCACTAGCTAGTAGTATTTTTTAGTATTTTCGACCAACTTACCCAAAGCAATAAAGATTCAGTGCCCGTTGGGTAGCCATCATTTTTGGCTTTTCAGGCTTATAAGCCAATTTTTTCACCAAACAAGTAACTTTTGGTTTTACGGCTGAATTTGTGTAATAATAAAAAAAAAGTAAGGTTGAAGTTACTTTTCTGGCTGTATTGGCTGAAGTTACTGTAGATGATCATTTTAGCTATTTTTTGTATAATTTTTTCTTTGTTTTATTAATAAAATACGGAGTATATTTTAAATTACTATGTTTCACAAATCACCAGAATCAACCAATATAGCGACATCAGCCAGAACTTCATAAATTTCAACAAAATCAGTCATTACAGCCGATTTGATTATCACCAAACGGGCTCTGAAAATATAGACATGCGAGTGGGCTGTAGCCCATTTATATTTACTAAGATGTGCCCGGAACAAATACACGAGCAAAAGCCCTAATGAAGAGAAAGCGGTGTATATATAAATAAATCAATCGCGTGACCTTGATAACATTGGCCGATCGACAACCTACAGCGCTCGCTCTCTGGAAACCCTTATTCCGGCCGAAGGTGACGGCAAGCAGCCCAGACAATGGCGACACCCAGAACTGTGAAAGACGTTTCTCCTCACGAATTCGTGAAGGCTTACTCTGCTCACCTTAAGCGTTCTGGAAAGGTACACTTTAATTTCTCCCATTAGCTTATCCGTTTTTGAATTATCACTTGTCACCTTAGCACGGAGTAGGGTTTATCAATCAACTCCTGTTTGTACTTAGTTATATGTAATGAACATCAACATCAGGCAAGTTTTCTGATTTCTTTCAAATTCTGGATCACAGTAATCCAATAGACAGGACTTTAGCCTTCACCTCATGAAGCAGGAAGTTCAAATTCCTCCAGGCTAGATGATGTGCAAATGTTGTATTCATATTTCGCATTTTGTCAGTGGTTATATATATTGCACTTGCATTTTTTATTAGCATTAAGATGTTTGTGTGGATTGTGTTTCATTTTTAAAACTAAGAAACCATATCTGAAACTTTAAATAATATAGATAGATGGAATCAATTTTTCTTTAGCTTATTTGTACGTTAGCAACACTACAATTGGTTACTCGACGATCTAAGAACTTTAGTCTGCTGCCAGATATTTTAAAGGATTTGCCACATTTCCTGTAATGAATGACAAAAGAACCTTCGCCTAGGATGTATGTGCCATAATAATAAGAATATTGTATGACCATTCGTGTGCCCATGAAAATGTTCTCATCATGATTCATGAGGTAACAAAAAAGTGGAAGCCTGCTTTTGTATTTGGACCAAGTAGCCATTTTTCTTTCATATTTAGTGTTCTCGTTAATGTCTTCTCATATATCAATTGCATGTCTGCATATTAGATGCATGGTTTTCTCATTTTGTATAGTTTCAACAATTATTTAACCATGTTAATGTTCTTTTAGTTACCTCAATCTCCATACTCTTTACTTTTTTTCCACTAGATGGCTTATTACATGTCTGCTTATTACTTTTTGTTACCTCAATATCCATTACATGTCTCCATTCTTTTAGTCTACTTATTACTAGTTACCTCAATATCCATTGCATGTCTGCTTATTACTTTTTGTTCCACTAGATGGAACTTCCAGAGTGGACCGATATTGTGAAAACTGGTAAATTGAAAGAACTTCCTCCTAATGATCCTGATTGGTACTACATCCGAGCCGGTAATATCTCTTTCATATCTTCAATGGAAAAAACTTCCTCATGATTTCTTCTGTCAATGACAATACTTCAAATTTACTAGATACACTTGTCTGAAAAATCATTTTTGCAGCATCCATGGCCAGAAAGATTTACTTGCGAGGGGGTCTTGGAGTTGGTGCCTTCCAGAGAATTTATGGAGGAAATAAAAGAAATGGAAGTCGCCCACGCCATTTCTGCAAGAGCAGTGGTGCTATTGCTCGTCACATTCTGCAACAGTTGCAGGCAATGAAGATTGTTGATGTTGAGCCAAGAGGGTATGTTTGGTCCTCCCATTAGTTTGTCTGTACATGTTTTAGTAATGCACCATAGGTTTTCTGTTGCACACTTTCTCTAATAAGTGTTTACTATTGAATATATTTCAGTGGAAGGAAGATCACATCCAAAGGGCAGCAAGATCTTGATCAGGTCGCTGGAAGGATTGCTGTTTCAACAGTTTAATGATTTCTCTGTTAATTATCTTTTATGTCATGCGCCTTAAAATTTTGAGACATTTTCTTTGAATACTTGTAGCACTTTTGATCTTCCCATGGGGGTTTGTCTTGAAGCTTGAAATATTAATCTCACAGACATCCAACATTCTACTTCGTTATTATTTTATATATCTACATCTATCATTCTGATTTTATGAAATCATCTTTCCCCCTATTTTCATCATCTGCAAATTGCGTTATAAACATCATGCATTCCGGTCACCAATCAACGAAGTTATAATTTTTGCTGCTTCTATTGATCTATCATCTTCTGGAGCTTACTGTTTTTCCGTTGGATAGTTTCAGACATACAGTTCAATGGTTCGCCAATCTAATTATGTTATTGATGATGAAGAGCTGCTAAATCCAGACATTTTGTATTTGGAATCGTTATTACAGAATTACAGTTAACAAATTCCTGAACACTATTTTCTTCATGTAAATATTATCCCTTCATAAAAAGTCTATCCCTTATCATTAACAAGACTACTGGGCAAATTATGTGGTGGGTAGGATGCATTTTCATGCTATTAAGGATGTTTTTACTTGTATTGAAATTTGTTGGTCTGGTGTGATAAATTTTTAGTTATGGTGTATTTTATACCTATGAAAGTCTGATTAAATTTGTTTAAATCAGGTTTGGGATGTCATTGAAAGCAGTCCAATTAAAAGCATCATGGTTATATTTTTGTACATAAATCTTTATTTTACGGATAAACAAACGTACATTAGGTACATATAAACCACTCAACTTATCGAACGATTTAAAAAAAATCAAACTTGTGATATATATGTTGTGATGGTTACTCATTTTCTTAAGTTAATGCCCTAGAAAGACTTGAATGCTACTCTGTTTTAGTATGTTTTAAAAAATAAAGAATTTGTCCTCATAGTATTCCACCATTATGGCATTATCATTGAAATACTCAAGAAGGAAACAACCAGTGTTGGACCCGGGCCGGGTCAAGGCCCGGTCGGGCCTCGGGTCTTATAATGGTAGGCCCGGGACCGGCCCGGTCAATGACCGGTTCCGATGCGGGCCGGGCCACCCGCCCAGGTCGGGCCACCCGCCGGGCCGGGCCGGGCCAGTATATATATTTTTTTAATTAATTATATATTATACAAATTGCTATTAAAAACAAAGTTCAAGTGCATTTATTTGAAATAAGAACTACATTTGAGAATTGAGAAAAAAATAACAATACGAAATACATTTTGTAATGAATATCAATTGGGATTTCCGCCACCGTTGGTTGTTGTTTTCCCTTTGTCACAGGACTTCATATGTTTTATTGGCATCCCGTATCCGTATGAACGCCCCAAGCAACACTCTTTCTTGCACCACCATCAAGTTGCCCACCACAGACCGGTCTTCGGGTCCTTCCACTTGTCAAAATTGTTTTGCATAAGGGGAGATGTACTTTCCATATTTAAAATGGTATATGTATAAGTAGGAATGTAGGATAATAAGAGAAGATGAAGATGGAGAAGAGTTTGAGAAGAATTGGAGAAGAGGTGTAGAAAAATGTTAGAAAATAGATGTATTTATAGATGTTTTTGAACCCCACTCCCCACACCACCACCCCGGGACCCCCCTGCCCCCCACCCATAGCCCCAACGGCTATATAGCCGTTTTGGAGGTTTGATTTAATTTTTTTTTTAAGTTATACACATATTGTAAAATAAATTAATTAATTTAATGAATTAAGTAAAACTAAAACTATTTGTACTTAGAAAAGTGGTTTGATTTATAATTTACAAATGTTACAAAATAGGTGTATAAGTATTTAAACAAATTACATATTGTAAATGTATTTTTAATTTAAAAACCGGCTTTATATTTTAGAAAAATAATTTTAAGTCGTTAGATTGTAACCAATTAATTAATTTGGCGGATCTTCCTTCTCAAGCTCGAAATGCTTACTATTCTGATTTATTTGGGCTGCCCTCCTTGAGATTAGCCTATTAAATCATTTCATTCTGTTTTTGCACTGCTTTGGTCTGGTTTGTTGAATATTACTACTTTTGTTTTACTTTTGGAGAGGGTTGGTTTGGCCCCCTTCTCCCCTTGTACTCTTATCTTTTTTATTACTAATACTATGGCAGCTGACCCCCCGGCATCTGCCCCACTGATTTTGGTGGTTTGCCTTCCGGGGTAAAAAAAAATAATAATTTGAGAAGTGCTACATATGAAAAAGTGAACACATATTTATTTGAAATATGAAGTACAAGTTTACAAATTAATTTGAAGTACAACTACAAATTTACAATTTTGAAATATGAAGTACAAGTTTACAATTTTGAAATATGAAGTACAAGTATAAATAAATTTGACAAGTGCTATAAAATACATTTTATAATAAATTCTAAAATACTAATCAATCGGAATCTCCGGCATAGGTAGAGCCACCATCGGTTGTTGAGTCATCCATAAAATCTTGGGAGGGGGTGATGCTCAATTCTTGAGTTCTACGTGCGGCCTTCAACCAATCGTGGTAGCATATAAGCGTCTCAAGAGACTCCGCGCTCAATCTCGATCTAGATGCGGTTAGGACGTTGCCGGCCGAACTAAATTCTTGTTTCACAACAACTGTTGAAACCGGCATTGATAGTACTTGCTTAGCCATCCGTGCTAAAATCGGGAACGTTCTTTCTTTTGACTTCCACCAGTCTAGAACGTCAAAGTCATCATTTTCTTCAAAATCAACTTCATATGTTAAATACAAAGTAATCTCATTCAATGCGCTTTGTTCAGTGACGTGAGTTGTTTTAGTTTTTTTCATAAGATTGCCAAATGCAGATTTAAAAATCGATTTTCCTTTAGATGAAGATGTTCGTGACGGGGGAGGGGGAGCGTTGCTATATTGTGCACGAAACTCATTAAATAAGGCATAAAATAAAGTACTAGCCTCGTTGTATTCCGTTTTCGGATCTATGGGGTTATCGTCATACATTGGAAATTCACCGAAAAACGCAAGATAATAGAAGTTGAAACAATCTTCCAAATTAGCAAGTCTATAACGAGGATCGAGAATAAATGCAATACCATAAATATGGGGAATATGTCACGCCCCGGACCTGTCCGGACACGTCAACAATCCGCCGTACAGTACGAATAGTCAACCGCAGTCCAACACATTCATACTATACAAGGCGTCTGGGATATCATTCACGCATAGTACATCCATAAACAAACATAATGTAAAATATTCATTCAAAGCAGCGGAAACATTTAGTACAAGTGTTCATGCCACACTTTGGCAAACCTGGGCATACAAGCCCTTATTAATATTCAATAGGAAAACATTATCCATGAGCATTTATTAAAGTGTTTGAAAACGGAATCTGAAGAGGCACGAACCACGTCTCCTCTTCTTGGATCCTACCCGAGCAACGGTGGTGGCAGCAAGCTCTACTCCCTACCTGAAACTGTGAGGTGGCCTCCCCCGTGAAGGGGAGGTCAGTACTTGGAAGCATTTGACAAGTACAATGACGACTATACTAAGTATAATCAAAGTTTCAATTTCCAAGACCCTCAATCCAAGATGTTATTCATTGTACTTAACTTATGTTCCTTCATGCTAGAGCTCGGCTCATAGTCATGCTACATTGTGCTAGAGCTCGGCTCATAGTCACACTACATTTGCTAGAGCTCGGCTCATAGTCATACTAAATTGTGCTAGAGCTCGGCTCATAGTCACCCTACGTTTGCTAGAGCTCGGCTCATAGTCATACTAATTTGTGCTAGAGCTCGGCTCATAGTCACCCTACGTTTGCTAGAGCTCGGCTCATAGTCATGCTACCACGTGCTAGAGCTCGGCTCATAGTCACGTCAACTAATCCCTAAACCACTTCTTAGTCTAGGTTCCATCCATTTTGAGTAACCCTTAAGGCCTACTCCAAATGTAACTTAAGTTCATAATAATTTGAATATCTCAATTAAATTCCACATTCAAGTGTGACTTGGCTCTAATATCAAAATATCACTTTTATCCTTCCATGACTTCCTTACATGAGGTAAAAGTATATTTATCACAATTTAGTTTATAGTTTACACAACTATTATACCATTGTATTCATAACACATAATCATACACAATTTATCCATAAATTTGTATATTATGCATTTTTGCTTATAAACAATAAAAATCTCATTTAGGCATTTTATTATTATAAATACATCATGCCAAACACATATAATTCATTTAGGAAATCTTATGAAATTAACCCAATAATTATAAGCAATATAGTCGGTCATCCTCACCTTAAGTGAGCTTAAGCGTGTTCTACGCTCCGCGGTTGAACTTGGACTAATTCCGGTGAACTTTGACCAACTCCGGCCAACTTTGACCAACTCCGGCGAAACTCCGGCGAAGCTCAAAGATACTCTAAATCAAGTTCCTAACAAGGTTTTAACATCATAAAACCTTAATCAATACACATAACCCTTAAAAGGTTATTTTCCGGTGAACCGGTCGGTTTGGCTTCTAAGTCCGTTCTTGGACTTAGACCTACTCCCCAACCCATTATTCCACACTATTGGCATGTAGAACAACCTCAAGGGTTCTCCATAAGATATGTATCTCATAGGTTAGGGGAAAAATAAAGGAAAAGTTAATACAAGGTCATTACCTTAATCTTTCTCACTTTTCCTAGCCTTTTTCTCCCTTTAATCTTCCTCCTTGGAGCTTCCTTGCTTGAGTTCAGTTCTTGGCTATGGAGGATGAGGTTGCAAGAGCTATCCTTCTCTCTTGGGTCTCTTTGGCCGAAATAATGGGAGAGGGTGAGTGAGGGGATAGTCTATTTGGCATTTCTCTCAAAATAATGTGTAAATGGACCCCCTCATGGTACCTTGATAGCTTCCTCCCACCTCCCTCTTGTCTCACAGCTCAAGTGTGACACAAATCAGCCCCCTTTGGCTGCCAAATTCGTGGGTTGGCCCCCACCCATGTGGGAGGTCAACCCTTTTTGTCCAGGAGTGTACAATTGGTCCCGAAAGTTGTATTTTTCGGACTGTTTTAGATATATTTTATTTTATCGGGTCAAATAAAATATATTATGTGTTCTCCATCATTATGACCCCTATAATGAATATTCATCTCCCAACTTTAATTTATAAGTCCCCGAGATTCAATTTCGGGCTTTCATCGGTTAAATTGCCAATACCGGTATTTGGGCCTCTTTTGACAAATCGGTCAACTCTGGACCTTCCCATGGCTCAAATGAGATATCCACCACCATATAAATATTATCTAGACCAAGATGAATAAAATATGTGGTCCCGGAAATATCGGGCGGCCCCCGCTCCCGGTGCGGGCCCCACGTGCGAATTTACTATTCACGCAAAAACATTAATAAAAATTCACAACTTCGAATACTCGTTAACCATTCCATGAGTTCAATACATTATTCCCTTTAAAAGTAAATACATTTGGGGACGGTGTTACAAGTTCACCCCCCCTTATTTGGGATTTCGTCCCCGAAATCCACGTGTCTAATCGAAAAGAAACGGGTATTGCTCCCTCATTGAGACCTCAGTCTCCCAGGTTTCTTCTTCGACTCGATCACTCCTCCAAAGAACCTTTACCATAG